AGCAGGAATCGTGCCACCTCCTTTTAAGGCTCTTATTACTTGCCATCCTAGCAAGAAAAGGCCATTGGCTTGAACTAGTTTTACCAGGACGACCCTGAATGGGGTATGTGAAAGGGTTATAAAGTCAGATCATGTTTCCTAAGCTACTGATCAAAATGCAATAATCTCTTCCCTTCCCATTCCTTCCGAGTTAATTAATGCCCCAGCTTTAGAGCTTTTATAAATGCAAATCACCATGTATTTATAAAAGAGGTGCAAAGAAGTAAAGTGGTGCTCTTTAAGCTTCATGATAAATGGGAACTTTTATTTTAGATGACAAGTACCAATTATAGCATGAAAAACTACTACCAAAAGACACCAGCATAATCATCACCTTTTTCCCACTTCTTAATTCAAGAACATCACTGGTTATCATATAAAGCAAGGCAATTGTGAGTTTCATGCTTTCCAGATACAGCCGGGGAAAAAAATATAAGCCTCAAGCCTCCCAGCAAGTGCATTAATACCTGGAATGTCATATTGCGTGAAACAGGTGCCCACTCTTCAGCAAATTGTCTCTCCAGAGATTCAGGATCCGCAGTTGGTGGGACTCGAATATCAAAACCTGCTTCTGCTTCAGATGGCTGCAAATTCATGACAAATCCCTGGAATAGAAGGGAGAATATCGGTCCATCTAATCAATAACATGTAGGATCATGGAGTGCCATAAAGATTAGTACTTTTCCAAATAAATCAGCCAATCAACAAATAATTTATAACAGAGATTGAGTGCATTTATGAAAAAAATAAGATGTTTATTTGACAAAGCTTGTGACTTTTGTCCTGAGGCATTCATGCAAAGTGCAGAAAAACCCCTGCCTTGGGCCCTATGTTTACGTGTTGGAGCATTTTTGCAACATCTACAGCATAGCATGATTGGACAAAGACTGTCTCAAACTGTCCTTAAATCCTTGCTCTTTCTTCAGAATAATGTCTACCATAATTGTTCTAGCTAGCATAGTATTCATCAGTGGTATAAATCAGAGTTCTGAAATCGCGAGTTGGCTTGGGACCCGGCCGACCCAGGACTTGAATCAGATCGATTTAAAAACAATAAAAAAAAAAACTCGGTGTGACCCAACAAGTTGACCTAGTTAAAAACTAATTGCAAACTTATTGATTTTTTATTTTTTTATTTTTATTAAAACAATATCATCTGATTTTTTAAAAAAAATAAAATTTGATCTAAACAACCCGATAATCTGATCAAAACTCGAAACCCAAGCTTTAAACCAGGCCAGCCACCTGGCCGGGTCTTGAAACTATGGCCTAAATGAATCAGCAAAACAACTAGACAAATTAAAATTTCATCCCAGCTTACAGTAGGAGAAGGAGTGCCAGCCTTGAGGAAGACCATGTTGACAGAAAAGACCTCTCCTTCAGATTTTAAACCAGCCTTCACCAAATCAAACTGAGAAGCTCTAAACCTCCTTATACTCTCAACACTTTTCAAAAGATTCTCCATAGCACTATTATCATATAACTTAGCTCCATGTCCTGGTGGCCCAGTAGCCTTAATCACCAACCACCACGGATTCCTCTCCGCATAAAACGTCCTGTAATTCTCACTCGGTGATGCCAACCCTGTAATTTCCAAAACACAAAATTTAGAACTAATTAATTACTGGAAAAGAAAATTATATACAAAACTTTTTACCTTCATCAAGGGCTATCCCAACGTTCATGCTGTTAAAGATATCAGACTCAGCGAACTTCTTAGCACCATCACGGCTACCGATTTCTTCATCGGGGACAAAAGACAAGTAAACAGAACGAAGGGGGTGAAATCCAGAAGACTTCAAGCGTCTAATAGCTTCCAAATACTGCATGCCAACGCACTTCATATCCTGAGACCCTCTAGCGAAGATATTACCATCAGAATCAACATGGGCTCCAAAAGGATGGTGGGCCCACTTGTGCTGTTCTACTGGGACGACATCTGTGTGTGAGTTGAGAAGGATTGAAGGGAGAGATTGGTCAGAACCAGGCCATTTGAGGAGGACGAGAGGCTTGTCCTGGGCAAATTCGATGGATTGGAACTCGAGGCCGATGGATTTGGCTTGGGAGATAAGGAAGTCAGCTGATTGTTGGTATTGAGGAGAGGGCTGTGCAGTGTTGATCTGAAGGTATTGTTGGAACCTTGATATGATAGCTGCATCTTCTGATTCTGCTTCTAATGGATGGATTGTAAGGATTAGTAGAAACACTGAGAAGAGGAGGAGAAGGAGAAGATGGTTTTTGAAGCTGTAGAAGGCTGTCTCCATTTCTGCCAGTCAGTTAAAGTAAGTCACGACTTACTGCTGGCTGGCTAATTAAGCAAGGCGGCCAATAGAAAGAATATTTTCATCCGCTCTCACTCGCCGGCAGCGTGTTTCAGTCTTAGAGATGATCACTGTTGGGAAGTGGGAACTTGTGATGCATAGTAGACGACAGATATATCGTGACTGCAAGTTAAAAGTGATGACATTGCCGTTCAAAAATCTATACTGTCGCTGCTGGGCTTTCCTAGTACCTGGGACATTCACAACGCTACGATTCTTAACAAAGTCAAGATTTTCAAGCCCATGATCACAACTTATCCTTTTTCACGATCAGCCGAATGGATGAGTCGAATCACAGGCAACCTTTTCTTTTCTTTTAACACAGCAGAAATTACGGCCTTCATAGTTCATACTCCCTTCGTTTTCATGTCAGCTATGAAGATTGATTTGATTATTGGAAACAATAAATATAATAAACCTAGATCTCCCTCTCTCTTTTTCCCCCACTCTCATGAGTCATTTTTTAAAAAAAAAAAGAAGAAGAAGGTAAAACCAGTTCATGAACGTCTAGCAATAATCATCTAAAAAATAACGTATTCTCTGTAGGGGTATGCCTATTATTCCTGTAGTATTTTACTTATTCATTGGATTTGGATGGCAGGATTAGTCATGGTATGCGCAAGCTGGCCCGAACACCCACGTTAATCAAAAAAAAAATTATCTAAAAAATAAAAACAACATAATATAATAATAATAATAATAATAATAATACTATTAGTGGTATATGAAAAGTATACAACACCTCAAAGGTAAATCCAAGTTACCTTATAAATTTAAAAATAAATTAAAATTATTTTAAAAAAATAAAATAAAATTTTTTAACTAATCCCATCTAGATTTTTACAGTTAGGTGACTAGTACTATGCTGCAGGTCAACTTTTTTAGTATAAAAATATTTAAAAAATTAAAACTCAAGAGTGTTGGCTCTGTCTAATAAGCTAGATCCAAAAATCTTAGATATGACTGAAACACCAAACTAAAAACCTTAAATTTGTCTACAAGATCAAATCCAAAAGCCTTAGGTTGATTGCATCATTAGACCCAGAACCTTACCTATGCTTGGTGGAGTTACAAGACCTTCAACCTTAATTTACTTGGATCTGAAAAGAGATGTCAGCTTCAATTTATTTACGAAAATAATAATAATAATAATAATAATTGATTTTACCATTTAGATTAAATCTATATTTTTTTCAATAGTAATAATTTCTTTTTCAAATTTAATATTATTAATTAATATAATAGCATTAAACTTTCATGACATAAGTTTTTATAGTTTTTAATCTCTTCAAATAAAATTTATTGTTTTTCACTGATAGTGATGATTTATTTTCAAATTTCATAATAATAATAATAATAATAAATTTATCTTATCTAAATTCTTATAGTTTTTAATCTCTTTAAATTAAATTTATGATTTTTTAATAATAATAATAATAATTAATTCTAGCCTTATGATGAGTCAGCTTTATTTATGTGTTTATTTATTCTTACAAATGTAAATGTATTTGCGTAGCCCAAGTTTTTATAGTTTTGAATCTCTTCAAATAAAATTTATAGTTTTTCTTCGATAGTAATAATATTTTTTTAAAAAATTATTAATGATAATAATAACAATAACAATAATTTTTAATTTTACCTTTCAAATCAAATCTATAATTATTTTTCAATATTAATAATATTTTTTCTATGATATTGATAATATTAATTATAATAAAAATAATAATATTTTTAATATTAATAACAATATTAAATTTATCATTCCCAAGTTTAAGTGGATTTGACTACAATGCCAAATCCAAAAGCTTTGAGCCCCTTTTAAACGCTAGACCCAAGAGTTTTGCATCCTCTTAAATGTCATATTAAAAAATCGTGGATCTGATTACGATTTTAGATCCAAGAGTTATGTGTCTAGACATCAAACCCTAGAAACTTGAGTCTTAACACTAGATTCAAGAGCCTTGACTTGGTCTATAAAGCCAAATCTAAAAGCCTTGAGCTAACTTCAATATTGAACCTAAAAGCCTTGAGTCTGACAAAGTTGTAAGATCTAAGTGACTTGGGTATAGGCCTTGCCAGGCCCAAACAACTTGGGTCGAGCATCCCTTTGCAGCCTAAGTTACTTGAGTTTGAAAAGGGATGTCAGATCAAGTTAATAATAACAACAACAATAATTTATTTTACCCTTTAAATCAAATATATATTTTTTTTTATAGTAATAATATTTTTTTTTCAAATTCAATACATATAATAATATTAATAATAATATTAAACTTGTCTGACTCAAATTTTTATAATTTTTAATCTCTTCAAATAAAAATATGGTTTTTATTTAATAGTAATAATATTTTTTTTAAAAAATTATTAATGATAATAATAATAATAATAAACTCGTCTAAACCAAGTTTTTATAATTTTTAATCCCTTCAAATCAAATTTATGATTTTTCTTTAATAGTAATAATATTTTTTTAAGATTTATTAATAATGATGATGATAATAATATTGATGATAGTTTTACCCTTTAAATTAAATCTATGTTTGTTTTTTAATATTACTATTAATATTAATATTATCAATACTCACTTATGTCAGGTCTGGCTAAGCGGCAGACCCAACCAATCTTAAATACAAAATCCTTTTTTTTACCTTGAATCTAGCAGAACCCAAAAAATAATTAAAATAAACAATTTAATGTTACTTATATCAACCCAGTGAAATGATAGAACAATTAAACATGCCCAAAACAAGGAAACAACAATGAAACTATTGTCACCTCGTGTAAAATCAACCAAAATTAAGAGTTACCATGTAACCGGGTACATTACAACGAGACCTATATCTAACTAACAGTCACTCCCCACTGAACAAATCAGGAGAATGACATACATGTAGGAAAACATGTATCTAACTATCACCTCTCTTCCACTGAACAAATAAAGAGAATGACATAACCATTTAGTAGGTGGTCTAATTGTAAAAATTTAGGACAAAAAAGTTTGTTTTTTCTGTGGTTGCTAATATGATAATCATTAGAAACTTACATGGTTGTTAACTTTAAGATTCATGAGATTAGTCGAAATATATATAAACTGACTCGGACATCCACGTTAATAATTAAAAAAAGAGAGAGAAAGAGAATGACAAGACACCAAATATCTAATAATAACAAATTAATATCCCAACAACCCACAGTGCACACACCATAAAGAAATAACAAAAAACAAACTCATCAGAAATTATCGTGAAAATTAATAAATTTCTTTATGATAAATACTATTCTAATCCACAATAAAAATATTTATAATCTACAATAAAACACCAATTTTTATTATAATAATATTGAAAACATTATAATTTCATCTACTAGATTAATCAAAATTAATGAAGTTAATTAGGAATATATTTATTTTGAAACGTAGGCAAGTGACGATTCAATGGGTTAACTTGTACCGGACCACAAGTGCAAATAGAGAGGAGTCGCTGAGAAATAAACATTGAAAAGGTTAAGCGGTGTGTTTATTTATTTATTTATTTTCATGAACCCGAAACACAAAGATAAAGTTGAAAGTAAGTAAATTAAGATAATACAGTTATGTTTCAGGCATAAGAATTCTAATTTAACGAGGAGATAAAGACTGGAGAGAGTCATGCATGTGAGATGCGGCCATGCCACCCCTCCAAAATTGTAAATAACGAGTCCTGGAAAAGAAGGGAAAAGAGCCCAGATTGCATGACTAAACCGTCTCTCCCAATGATCAAAACCATATTTCCTCTTTAACTAAATCTCTATCTCCCAATAGGTTAGGTTTAGCGTTTTAGGTTTCGGTTAAGGTGAGTACAAGCAATGAATTAAATTAATGGAGTTACTAAACGTAGACAAATAGCGAAACAGAAGAAGCTAGCTCCCTTTTCAAATCCCACCGTAGAAGACGCCGACCTCCAAAAACAAAACCCCTACTTTCCAGCCTTTCACCGCTTAACCACCGCCACAGTTCCCTCCCCAAAGTTACTAACCAAAAGTTATATAAACTGAAAAAAAGAAAACCTCAGGAAACAATAAGAGGCAGCACGCACACCTATTCTAATGGAGGATTGCATGAGAAAGCTAGCTTTATGGCACACTCGAACATTCAATCCCATTATGACCCACGAAGAGCTTGAACTCCTCATGACTACCATGGGCTTCGTGGGGCTCCCTCGATCTTCCTCTTCGTCGTGGAAGGAGTACGCTTACATGGCTAAGCCACGTAATTACAAATACTGCTACGATCACTTGGAGGAGCAGTCGCCAGTGCCACCGCGACCCAAGCTGCCTTACCCTAAGATAGATGGCCTCCACCTATATACTTACCAAGCTTTCATCGACTCCGTTAACTTCTACCTCGAGATGTCTGACATCTCCGATCTCTTCCACGTCAGGTAAATACATCAATGCATTAATTTACTTGGTTTCCTCTTTTCATTAATTTTCCGTCTTTCTTTTTCCTCTTTTTTTTTTTTTTTATTTCCCTATGGATACCACTTTTCTAACTCTTCATGCTCAGCACTACTTTATAATAATAATAATATCAGTGTTAGCACAACCGTGCTCATGTTTTTGCTCATTAATGATGATGATAGGGGAATGCCGCTTTCTCGAAACGTGGATAGAGATTGGAAGTGGCGTCGAATGGAAGAAGAGGAGACTGTGTTTGTTTATAGAGAAGGGACTCTAGATCAAACGACTTACCATCTCTATCATTTGAACAAGCCAACAAGCAGTGGCAATGGCGATGATTCTGTGCTCATTCGAGACAAGGGCAAAAATGCTCCCATTACATGCATCGTCCCTTTGAAAGACATTATAGTTGTATGATTCAGCTCCTCTTTCCAATTCTTAAACGATCACCATGCATTAGGCAATTGATATTTCTTTTTCTTTTTTATTTATTTGTTTCAAGACTAATCTATACAGTAATTTGCTCATTACGTTCCCTCTCCTGCTTGCACTTTCTGAACAAAATTTTCTATATCTTCCTTCCGTCCTTTGCTATCTTTTCTAACAGTTAAGTTGGTGAAATTACTAGGCATTTGATGTCGAATTTTAGTGCTGAAAACATTCTAGCGGTGCCTTAATACCTAGGAATTTCCGCGATTAATCTTTCAAATCTCTGTCCGCCTAGTACAAGTGATCGAAACATTTCTAAATTATAATATATGCAGTGAGACGCAGAGATTTAGAACGGTTTAAAATACAGGCGACGTGACATGAGCCTTTGCAAATTTATCTTTATGCCCAGTTTGGTATTCAATATCGATCACACTCCCACCTAAGCCACTAGTCTAGCCTGCAAGCGTAAGCTTTTTCAAAGGAACCCTTCTATGTTGGATCCTTCTGTGAGGTGGGTCGGTAATGTTCTGAAATCTAAATTTTGTTCCATAAATCCCTCCTTTGTCAAGGAAAGGTATAGTGTTGGACTGGTCCTGTTGTAATAAAATACAATAAACAAAAACAAAATATACCTTAGGCTTGATAGATATTATCTTTAATGATATTAATTTTTTTAACACAATAGTATCTTTCAAGATTCAACAATTCCTCTAAATCAAGCCAGATTAAAATAAAAAAGAAATATCAACAAACCTTTCAAACACAAAACAATAATATTATGATTTTTTTAGCACACTTTGACTATAAATATATATATATAGGTTGCTAACATATAACATCTAAACAGAAAATAAATTAGAAAATTAAAAAGCTATTAAAAAATTAAAGAATTGTAAATAATAAAAAGATTTTAAAATAAAAAACTTGTTATGATTTTATGACTATTAAAAAATTAATTTCAGGTATTTATAAAATTATAATTTCAGAAAAAAAAAGATGTGCAAAAAATATAGATGCTATTTCGAGTACAAGTGCAATTAAAGATTTTTCTTTAGCTAAACCTTGTATACACGAATCATTATTTTTTTATTAACTATTATTTCATATTAAAATTTATTATATAAATACAAATAAAAAAAACTTTCAAAATAATATTTATTATTTTCTTTATTTACAAGAATTCCTACAGCAAAGCACACTAGCGCGAATGGCCAAGCCAACCGTTCGAGCACACAATTTATTTATGAGCAGGCTGCAGGCACAGCAGAGGCAACAGCGTGGTTATAACTTCACCATACATCTTTGCTTCATTTCAAAGAAGCCAATCAACTCCAAATATACTAATCAAGCTTCCAATTAGTCAATCACACTCTCTTCCATATGGCCACGGGGTTCCCCCTTGGTTTCTTCTCAAAAGACGAGCCAAATTATGTAAATAACAACAAATGTGTGCAGGCAAGTAGAAACAGGGCCAAAGACTTTCCGCTCTCCGTGTCTGCCACAACAACAAACCATGCAACCTCCATACACAATCCCTAAACCCTTTTTTGGGTTTACATTCCCAGCTTGAAAAAATCAAAGAAAAGAAGGCATTGCTTTTGTCCATGATAGACCAAAGCTACCCTTCCTCTCGGGTTTGCTGCACGTCCCTACATTTTGGACTACGGTCTTCCAAAGAGAGCCTATTTGTCAAATTTCACCGTTTCGTCTAAGGGGTGGCCATCTGACCAACAAAGCTAGCTTCATTTCAGCAAGGAGATTCGGGTCATTTCCCAAAGAAAGGGTGGTTTTTCTCTTCACTCGAGACCATAATTTCACAGGGAGGAGAAGAAAGGGAAAAAACAAGAAGAGAAGAATCTCATCAAGTACAAATCAGAATTCTCATGGTCGTTGCTTATCAAATGGGTGCTCTAAAAGCCATGCTTCTCTACTTGATTATACACCAGACATGGAAGATCACCGCTGATGATGAGGAATGGAAGTCTGCCACTGCAACATACGTTAAGGAAACAAATGGATCCATCGTTGTAGGTAATTCTCTACCAACTGGTCCTAGTAAGGGTGAAACATTCTGTTTCTTCAACTCGTAATGGTGTTTCATATTCCACCAAAAAAAGTTCCAGTTTGGATTGTAAAGATTACACTGCCATTGTTTAATGTTGCAGAAGGTGCTTGTGGGTATGCGGACCTTCACAAGGCCACCTATGGAAAGTACAGTGCTGGACTAAGTAGCATGCTGTTCAACAGAGGGAGTACCTGTGGGGCTTGCTTCGAGGTCAGATGTGTCGACCACATCTTATGGTGCCTGCAGGGTAGCCCCTCAGTCATTCTCACTGCAACAGATTTCTGCCCTCCCAATTACGGGCTTTCGGCGGATTATGGTGGCTGGTGTAATTTCCCGAAAGAACATTTTGAGATGTCAGAGGCAGCATTTACTGAAATCGCAGAGAGAAAAGCTGATATTGTGCCAGTTCAACACAGAAGGTATCACTAATCAATTCGCAATTACTTGCTAAATGAGTATAGGCTTCTCTATTTCCTAGTACCTTAGATGAGCAAACATTAATTATGCTAATTTTGTGTAGGGTGAAGTGTGTAAGAAGGGGTGGACTGAGATTCACAGTGAGTGGAAATTTTCACTTCTATCAAGTCCTGATCTCTAATGTGGGGTTGGATGGCGAGGTGATTGCTGTGAAAGTGAAGGGTTCGAAAACAGCTTGGATACCTATGGCAAGAAACTGGGGACAAAACTGGCAATCTAATGTCAACCTTATTGGACAACCTCTATCTTTCGAGGTTACAACCAGCAGCAGAAAAACACTCACCTCTTACAATGTTGCACCAGCAAACTGGCAATTCGGTCAGACATTTGAAGGCAAACAATTCTAGTGTGAGAGGCTTTTAGGCTCGAGGCAAAGGTTCACACTTCTCTTTTGCTTAGAATGACTAAAATTCTCCTGCTATGTGATGAAGTTGGTTCTTGGTCAAAAGAAGGTAAGAAAGTTGTAAAAGAAAGTTGGGGAAAAAAGGAGTGCAAGGTCCCAGTTTTGTCTCGTTACGTGCTTTTCAGAGTAGAAAGTTAACTGCTCTTGAAATGTGTAACTACTGAAATGTTTAAAGTTTACATTCACTTCAAAAGACAAGAGAAAAGTTTAAGATATGTATTTCTTACCGTGAGTTTTTTACCAGGCAATCCTTGCTTCATGAACTAGGCTGTACTTTGAGATGATTCACTTTGATTCTACAAGAATGATTATAAATTAAGCACAGCTGTGGAAATCATCAATGATGGAAGCTTTCTCATCAAATGCAAATGCTAGTATGTAATGCAGGGGAAAACAAAGAGAGACACTCATTTGATGTCCAAATTACAGAGGCTCAATATTGAAAACTGAGGTAAGTAAAGCACAACCAAAGAAGTGAATTTATGTTGTTGTAGAGATGACACAGCTACCAGGTCTAGAACAAATTGCTGAACCTTTCCAGTCACATGAGCTACCAGGATAAAACATTTCTTACTTTAATTCATTTGGGAGACAATTGAAATACAGTTGTCTCCACAGAGTTGTTGCTCTTTACATTTCCAATGTGTAAAATGGATTTTTTATTTTAATAAAAGTAATTATAACAACTAGGATAGATTAACAGAGGAAAGAAAATCACCCACTTCAACATTCATGTTCCAGTGAAAGGAGATTAAAAGAAGTGAGTTTCTACTACATATCTGATACAACTACAAAAAAGACCAAAATTAAACGAAGTAGCAAAAGAAGAACAAAGGCTATTGGTAATGAAAGAAGAGGTCATACAGATGGAGTTAAATGAAGAAACATATACCATGTTGGCATTGCAGAACCAAAAGGCCATGTATGATTTCTCTGTCAGCAACATGAAGTTGAACACACATTCCAGGTTGCTCTTCACAAGGTACTCTTAGTGCCAAGTGATGGTGAACTAACCAATTCAAAAGCTGGAATTTTGATCTGTCTATTACTTCAAGTAACTCAACTTGCTATCTCTTCCCCCGTCGTAATTGAGGGAATCACCATAATACCTGTAAGCATCCTGCCTGACAGTAACAGAATCGCCAATGTATTCTAAACCACTTGAAGTATGGAGACCTGTCATCCTATTACAACAGACTTGAATTGTATGTTGGAATTTTTTCTAATTTTAAAATTTTATTTTTTAATTGATGTTAATATTAAAAAATTAAATTAAAAAGATATTACTTCGTACATTTCAAAATAAAAAACATTTTGAAAAACAATTTATAAGATAACAAACAGGCACTTCATAGCACTCCGTAACAAGTCCACTCAGCTTAAAACTAATCGGAGTCATTAACAGTTGATTAAATTCACTGTAAATCACCACTAATTTCAGTCTCCAAATACCTAAAAAAAGAAGCCAAACCTCGTCAATAAATCCATTGCTAGACATTACTTTAATCATCTCATCATAAAACACCACTTGTGGTTCGTACCAGTACTCCTCTGTGATTGGGTTTTAAAAATAAATAATGAGTGATATTTGACCTTGAGAGCCAAAAGGCAGTGGTTCTGGCGGAGGAGTTGGCGAGGAACGGCAGTCAAGACGAACTTCAACAATCGGTTGAATTTAGGACGGAAGGCTTGATCAAGCAGCGACTTGTCGTTTTTGTAAGTAAGCTCGTTTTATTTCTGAAGGCTTGTATTGTTTGAATGGCGTCGATGCTGAGGTTTCTGCTTTTCCGAAACGATTGGCTTTGGATTAAGGAAATGGAAACTACTACTAGTATTGCTAGTTGTTTTTCTCTACCATCAGCCTCTTTGAATTTAATTTCTTTCTTCTGTCTGCACTGCCGAGATAGTACTCTGCAGCATTGGAAAAGGGATTTTTGACACCCGACACATAAAATATAAAATAAACCTGAATTATAAAAATGAATGATAAAATCATAAAATTATAAGAAATGTTTTTATATAAGATTCAAGTATTTTAAAATATATGTATTAAATTTATATATAATTTAATAATTTGTTATTAATTAATAAATTTAAATAAATAATATGTTGATGTGAAAGTAAATAACCAACTCAAATTAATATTGTAGAGCTATTTTTAGATATCATTTTTTGTAAAATAAATCTGACTACTAGAAAAATCCAACTATTAGAAAAGTATCGGTGCCAAACTTTATTTTATTAAATATAAAGTTGATAGTGATACTTTTATTAATACTCATCAACACAACTAATATAAAATATTTATATAACTTCACTTCATTAAGTATTCATTACGTATAAAGTTGATAGTAATATTTTTACTAACACATGTCTTTCCAATAACCATAGTTGTAAAAGAAAAATTAAGGGATTTCTACCCAGCAACCTCAAGATACTCTGTCATGGCATTGGGATCATCAAAAGCAGTTGGCCAACTAATCTCAATATGTATAAAACATGTGCAACAACAATATTATGGGGAGTGTCCAAATCTATGTGCAAGCTGTAAAAATTTTCACTATGCTCATCTAAAATATTTTATGTGTCTCATCAAATCCTTCTGATTTCTATTTATAGGATTTTCAATCTGTTGAGATTGTGTATAAAAAATAGTTTTATTAGCACGAAATTATGAGATTACCCTAGGTGCATGTATTAATAGTGGTGTAGCGTGCCCTAAGCTAATTAGACTAGAAGGTTAAGGGGCTGTACTTAGAGACTTTACAGATAAAGATGCAATCTTAGAGTCAATAATTTTTATTAATTTTATCAAATTTAATAAATCTAATCTGAATTTAATCAATTATAATCGAGTTTACTAGTTTTTAAGTTTTTTACACGATTTAATATGTTATATCTATATTAATTTATAAAATTATATAATTTTACAAGTTAATTTATAAATTTGATAAGTACGATAAGAATAGTGCATTGTTATGTATTTTCAATTTCACTTTTTGTTATTTTGCTTGTACTGGGTTGCAGTCCAGGTGCTATTGAATATTTTTTAGTTTTAAATTATTATTTTTATATTTTTAAATAATTTTAATATGTTAATATTAAAAATAAATTTTAAAAAATAAAAAAAAAATATTTTAATAAATTTCTAAATAAAAATAATTTTTATTACATTTCCAAATAAATACTAAAAAAGATGAGATGGATGGGTGAGGGCATGATTGAAAAATCTTTAATTTAATTTGAGTGAATAAGAGAATATTAAAAGATTAAAACAAATCAAAAAATAAATTTTGTTTCAAAATAAAATAACATATTAGTTATTAATTATATGAAATTTTGGAAAAGAAAATTATTTAATTATTCTAGTTTTTAATTGGATGATAAAAGAAATATTTTCAAATTAACGTACACACATTTTAACTTCTTTTTTTTTTTAATTCAATGTGATTATAATACGTGTTTTCAAGTAAACATAAATACAATTTTTTGAAAGATTACTGAGGGAGAAAGAGAAAGACTATTTAAGAAACAACGTGTACTTTATCTAGGTATTTGTGAATTTATTTTTTCAAATTACAAATCAAATAAAATATGTATTTTTATATTTTAAAGTAAATCTTATAATTTTAGTCGATGCTAGTAAAAAAAAAAATATATTATATTATAAATGAACCATGACGAACAACTTTTTTATCGCCTTTCAATGTTACATTCCTCTAGTAGGTAATGTAGATAAATCCGAAAATGGTTAATTACATAAACAAATTATAGTTTATTTATTTATTTTGTATTTTTATCTTACAAATTATATTTTATATCCCGAATCAATTAAATTTTTAAACTAGATAAAATAATGAAATTATCATTATATATATATATATATAATCAACCAAAAAATAATTTGTTTTTCACTTTATTCCATTGATGATTTCTTTTTCTCTTTCAAACACCTATCTCTCTCTCTTCAAACCTAAATCAAACATAAATTTTGTTGTTTTTAATTAAAACCATAATAAAACCCTTTTTCTACATTTCTTGTCATTGTTGGCAATGTATTTCACTCGCAAACACAAGGGAAACAGAGTTTTTAAATCTACTCTCTCGTTTTCTTTCACATTTTCTCAGCAACTAAACAACATTGGTCTAATTTGAAGCAATGCAATGCCAATTGAAGGTTAATACAAATTGATGATATTATAAAAATTTAGTATATTCAAAGAAAATATATTATTTGATATATGAATAATAATTAACCAAATGTGCATATACTTATTTCTTTTTTCTTAGCCCAAGAAATGCAAAAATTTACAATATTAGATATGGTATGTGTAAAAATAGTCATTGTTGGTAGGACTTAATGATTCTTCAATAATAAAATTAATAATTTTAAATGAAAATTTTGAGGAGTGTACTCTATAAATCACTAGTTCGAGTCTTACAAATCTTAAGATCATTTAAGGCTTACATGGTTGTTAGCTTTAAGACCCATGAGATTAGTTGAGGTGTATATAAGCTGGTCCAGATATTTACATTAATTAAAAAATAATAATAACTTTAAATGTGACACCCACGTTAATGAAATTAATGATGTTCTAGAAATCTAATATATTCAAAGAACATGTTATTTGATATATAAATAATGATTAATCAAATATTCATGTATTTTCTTAGCTCAGGAAATGCAAAAATTAACAATACTAGTCATGGTATCTGTAAAAACAGTGATAATAATAAATAAAATAAAGAATTTTTAATTTAAAAAATGAACGTGTTTGTTCATGATATTTTGTAATTAGTGCTATAAGATATACAAGTTCTTGGATAGAAAAAAAAATAAAATTTTTACCTAAATAACTTATAAAGTATTTTGAATCTTGTCATCTCTAGAAAAGAAAATACTAAAAAATATTTTTATTTTTTATAATATCAATAAGAGATAAATATTAATTACACATCACATCATTAATGAGAAATAAATAGTTTTTTTATTTTATTAATGAAATAAAAAATATAATAAATCTTTTGAGAGACTTTTAATATATTTACAGGTGTAAAGAGATAACTACCTCTAATATAAATAGTTATTATAAATAATTTGAAGATAAAATTTCATGATTTTAAAATAAATTTTTAAGTTCAATTAGGTTTGACACATAACTTAATATAAAAAGAATAAATTTAGTATTTTATCATACCCACAGTAACATGGATTGAACTCATCCAGAAATGTTAGACATTGATATTTTATTAAATTTATAATGATCCGAACGCAGCTTATGACGGAATCTAATTATATTGTTATTAGCATTTTACCAGATTTACATATGACTGGCCTAGCATCTCTATCTATGGATTTTGATTATTTTAAAACATAAAACTATTAAAGCATTCCTTCACAACTTTGTTCTTTTTTTTTTATTTATGTGGGGTGTCCGGGCCAACTTGCGCGCACCACGACTAATCTCTACAGCCCACTGAATATCCTGCAAACTCAGTAGGCAGGTAAGGCATCACGAGAATGACAGGTATGCTAGGGCTCTAATTTGCACAACTTTGTTCTTTTGACTGTACAGGATGGCTTCGCAGTTACTCAAGAGTCAAGACAGACTGCTGTAGGAGCGGGTTTGGATCTGGAGGCACTGTAATTGATGCGTAGAAAATAACAATAATAAAATTGGAAGCTGATGGATATTCTGGTAATAAAATCTGGAGGCACTATAATATTCATCATCCACGGAGATGTCTTACCGTCTCTCCGGATCAAATTAGTTAATTTTGAGTTTTAAAAAATAATTAATAATTATTTTAATATTAAAAATAATTTTTAAAAAATAAAAAAAATAATTTTAATATATTTATAAATAAAAAATATTTTAAAAAACAATCATAATTATCCATTCAAACATTCTAAACTGCCAGGACAAAGGTGAAAGTAATGGGCTAGAATCTGTTGTCCAGTAAGTTTATTTATGATGTGTTTGGTGTTATGTTTTAAAAATATTTTTAAATTTTTTTAATTTTTTTAAATTAATATATTTTTTATATTTTAAAATTATTTTAATATAATTTTAAAATTATTTTATTTTAATATAATAATCTTAAAAATAATTTTTAAAATATAAAAAATGTTATTAATATATTTTTTTAATAAAAAATATTTTAAAAAATCATTACAATTATATTATCAAATACTCTATTTCTTTACTGGGATGATGAGTGCACACAATAGCAATGTTCAGCTAGTTTGAAGTGACGTCATTGTATGTGCTTTTAACTACAACTGTTGTTGTCTCCATGAACGGGCAGATCTGGTTTTGTATTTCAAGCACTTTCTCGTCCAAAAATGGTAGCATATTTGTGATGCATTTACATAGCGGCACATCATCAGAGAGCAAGCTAAGGCTTCAGATCAACTAGTATTTATTGCAATTTTATAATTTTAGACGATAAAAAACTTGTAAGGTTATTATTGGACAGGATTCTTAGTAATTTAATATAATACAATGGAAATCGAGTAAATAATCTTGTATTAATTATTTTGCTATTTCTTTTTTCAAGCCAGCTTGAGCATATAAATAGTTATAAATATAAAATGTAATTTAAAAAAAAAAACAAGTAGGCTTTTGTAATTATCTCCTTAGAAAAACAATATTTTCTTAATCTCTCATCGCCTGGTTTACGATTTTTCCTTGTCGAAACACTTGAATGGTCGGTCCATGCATGCACCATATGTAGTGCTCAAATATCTAGAGTTTAATAAATAAATGCAAAGAAACATTTATACATAAAAGCCAGTTTTTAATCATCATCATCAAGCTCATCATTTGATCACAAGCTCATACTCTCCTCAT